ATATTAGGTCACTAGCACACTGTGTGACACATTTATCTAACCACATATCATACTATGGGAATTTATACGTAATTGTAAAAAAATATTGTTCAGTTGCTGTTGTAGTAATCAATATGAAAAAAGTAAAATAACAAAAATACTGAACTCCATGGAAAATTCAAAACGGAAAGTCCCTTAATAATAGCAAAATAAAAAACTCAAACATATTAAACGAATGGAAAACAACTGTCATATTCCTGACTTGGTACAGGCATTTCTGTTGTGTATTTAAAACTGCATTTGGGTTCTTGTATATATAACACAACTACTAAATAAACGTGACTGCTTCTATAACTACATTTTATTTCATAGATACATACATAGAAAAGTATGAAAGATAGAAACCAGATGATATTTAATTGCCTTATTGTTTACAATGTCTGATTCTCTGCTGTAGGTTAAAAACTGCGTAGTATTTATAATCCGGTGATTTATAATAGAAGATAAAATAAACAGTCACATAAAATGTCAAAACACTATAGTTCCTCCCTGCTAATTCCAGACGTGTGATCACGTGTGCGCGTGTTAAGAATTATGAATGAAAATTGACCTAGCAAATTGAAAACAAATAAAAAGAGTAGATAGAAAAATAGGTCATGCAGTTTACAATATTTTCTCAATATCATGCAAGATCAGACCTTGGTCTGATTATGATTACACGAGGGTTACTATGCATCATAATGTGTAACCATAAAAGTCATATTCATGCACACTGACTATTCCATTTCGGCAATTAATCTTTTTGGTTGATTTCGTTCTCTTATTGGATTTCGTCGCGGCATTGTCATTTCATCGTTTTTGTTTTGCTCCGGTGATTTTTCGGCCACATGTTGTTGTGTGCGTGTCTCCGTATTGTCAACTATAATGTTATCGTTTTCGATTGATTGTTCATACGATTTTGGCATTTGAGTAGACTTTTGTTGTTCTGAATGCCTTCTCCATGTGTGTCCGTTGTCGGTTGAAACTATATACATGAGTGGTCCTTCACGCTCGCTTATAATTCCTGCTACCCATGGATCTTTTCCTCTATAGTCCTTTGCAATAACTCTTTCCTGGCTCACTCTGACGGTGTTTCGTAAGTTTGGTTTTAACAAATGAAGTCTAGATCTTAAGTCCCTTCCTAGAAATAGTTTTGATGGTGTTTTGTTCGTGGGTGGTAGTGTGTGGTGTCTGGCGATACGTCAGCAAGAAGTTTGCGATCTTTTTGTTTACATCACCAGATTCCCATTTCAATGCTTTCATTGACTGTTTAAATGTTTGAATAAATCTCTCAACAAGTCCATTTGTTGCTGGATGATAGGGTGCTGACTTCGTGTGTTTTATTCCATTTTGTCTCAAGAATTCTGCGAATTCTACGGATGCAAAACTTGGTCCATTATCCGATACAATATGAGCAGGTACTCCATTTCTAGCAAATACTTGTCTCATAATGTCAATTGTTTTTGTTGCTGTAATCGATTTCATTTCGAAAACCTCAGGCCATTTGCTATGCGCGTCCACCATTACAAAAAACATTCTGTTAATAAACGGTCCAGCGTAGTCTATATGGACTCGTTGCCATGGTGTCTCGGGCCACTCCCATGGGTGTAACGGTGTTAGTGCTGGTGCGTGCTGATTTGTCTGGCATCCAGTGCAGCTTTTGACTAAATGTTCAATGTCACTGTCTATACCGGGCCACCAGACATGTCCTCTGGCCAACGCCTTCATTTTCACCACTCCCGGGTGACTACTATGAAGTAATTCTAGAATTCGATTCCTGAATTTAATCGGAATTATGACTCTTATTCCCCACAGAAGGCAACCATGACTAACAGTTAATTCATTTCTACGAGTGAAATAAGGTTTCATTAACGAATCGTCCGTTTTTTCCCATCCGTTCATTGCTTGGTACAATACTGATGCTAATACCTTTTCTATTCGAGTTTCACGTTGAATTTCGGCGCTCGTAATTGGAAGGTCCTCAATTTGTAACACGTGAAAAAGATCATCTGCGTCTTCACTGTTTATGTTCATGTCACTTTGCATCGGTAGTCGCGATAATGCGTCTGTATTATTGTGTTTCTTTGTATTTTTGTATTCGATGTTGTATGTAAATCCAGAGAGAAAAATAGCATAACGCTGTAACCTAGCGGCGGTAGTTACAGGAATTGATTTTTCAGGATTAAAAATTGCTGTTAAAGGTTGATGATCAGTAATTAAAGAAAATTTCCTACCGTACAGAAATGTGTTAAATTTCTTCACTCCCCACACTATTCCAAGCGCCTCCTTTTGGATTTGTGCATAGTTCTTTTCGGATTTTGTAAGACTCCTCGATGCGAAAGAAATGGGTCTTTCCGATCCATCCGGCATAACGTGAGACAACACTGCCCCAAGTCCGAATGGCGAAGCATCACACGCTAAACGGACTGGTAGTTCGGGGTTGTAGTGTGTTAACACTTGGTCTGACGTAATAAGTTCCTTTGCCTTTTTGAAGGCCTTTCCACAATCGTCTGTCCAGAGCCATATTCGCTCTTTTTCTAGCAGTTGATTCAATGGTTTAAGTACAGTTGCTGAATTAGGCATAAATCTGTGATAATAGTTTATCAGTCCTAAGAATGCACGTACATCCTTGACATTTTTCGGAGTCGGAGTTTCCATTACAGCCTGTACTTTGTCTGTAGTTTTCCTGAGTCCATCTGCACTAATTTCATGTCCGCAGTATATGACTTTGTCCTTGAGGAAAGAACATTTCTGCAAGTTTGCCCTTAAACCATAGTTCTAAAGTCTCTGTAACACATTTTTCAAGTTTTGTAAGTGTTTTTCGTCATCAGGGCCCGTTATTATCATGTCGTCCAACATGCATTGTACACTATCAAGTCCATTTAATACCTGGTCCATTGTTCTTTGCCATATAGCTGGGGCTGACGCAATACCGAAAAACATCCTATTATAACGATACAGTCCTTTGTGTGTATTGATTGTCATCAATGGTTTTGACTCATCGTCTACCTCCATATGTAAATATGCATTACGGAGATCCAGTTTCGTGTATTTCTGTCCTCCTGCGAGAGTAGCGAATATTTCGTCGGTCCGCGGAAGCGGATACTGATCCACATTAAGCATAGGATTCACGGTGGTTTTGAAATCTCCACATATACGAATTGTACCATTTGAATTCATAACGGGGACAATTGGTGATGCCCATTCACTTGTGTCGACTTTTGAAATTATTCCTTCCTTTTCAAGCCTTATTAGCTCTCGCTCCACTTGCGGTTTGACTGAAAATGGCACCGGTCTAGCTTTTACAAATTTCGGTGAAGCATTTTCTTTCAACGTGAGATGTGCTTTTATATCTGCAACACACCCTATTCCCTCACGGAATACATTTGAATACTCCTTCAGTAATAAATCCAGCTTTTCATTTGAATTTCTTGACACTGAAATTTTATTGATCCACTTGAGATTTTTCCAATCTAAATTGATTTTCCTTAACCATTCACGCCCAAACAATGCAGGGCCACCTTTTTGCACTACATATAATTTAAGATTTTCACATTGACCATTATATTTAACTTGCACATTCATATATCCAGTTGGAATTAACAACTCTCCTGAATACGTTTTCAGGGTGACATTTGCACTTTCAAGTTTTACATTTTGAAAATACTTGTCGTAATCCAGAGCAGAAATTACTGACACGGCTGAACCTGTATCCAGCTCCATTCTAATTTCTTTTCCATGTTCATTTGGCGTAATCCAAATTGAATCCTGATTGGAATTTTTAACACTGTGAATTCCTAAGTAATTATCCTCATCACTTGTGTATTCCCATGATTGATTATCCAAGGAATTAACATTCTTTTGCGCCGGTCTTTGTTTCGGTTTACCGGATGATCTACACGCTTTTCGGATGTGCCCTTTTTTATTACAGCTGTGACACACCGCGTCTTTAAATCTACATGTATCTGCTTTGTGATTCTTTCCATTACATCGGTAGCATTCGATCGATTTCCGTCGATCTGTTGTACTTGGTGGCGGTCTACGTTGCTGTCGTTGTATCCTGTTTACAGAACTTTCCGTGTTGAATTTCCCTCTTAACTCAATTGCATCTTAACTCAATTGCATCTTTTCAATATTAAAAAAATATTGTTCAGTTGCTGTTGTAGTAATCAATATGAAAAAAGTAAAATAACAAAAATACTGAACTCCATGGAAAATTCAAAACGGAAAGTCCCTTAATAATAGCAAAATAAAAAACCTCAAACATATCAAACGAATGGAAAACAACTGTCATATTCCTGACTTGGTACAGGCATTTCCTTATGTAGAAAATGGTGGATTAAAGCAGAGACATATATACACAGAGATTGGCAACTGCAAATTGGTCAGCGAAATCCAATTGGAAACACGCATCCGACGAGACTTTAACGATAGCGTCATTTTGTAACTACCAACGATAAGGTCGCAACTGCCTTTCGATTGTAATCCTACATCAAGCTTTTCAAAACAGCATAGTGCAAGTATATATTTCAATTTCTTATATCATTTACTTTCTCTTATTCAGTTTGTAGTATTATTAGGTAAAAATATTGTGACAATTAACGTTTTATTGCAGTCAATAGTAAGGGGAAAGCTTGGTCAACATGGCCGTTATGAAAAGTTGGAACACGGTCATATTTTGTATTAAAACCTTTTTCATTCTTAAAAGAATACAACTATTTAAGAAATGAAATAGCTTCCCAAGTAATACCGATTTTGTGTATATAAGTTGAATTTTCATTATTTCATCCACTTTGATGAAATTTACAATTAAAAATCTGAATTATAGCTGTCGGCCATGTTGATTTTGTTTATTTAGAAGACAGACCAATGTCCCTGGTTTTGGTCTATAAACTTGCCCATTTTCAGAGAATAAATGTACCTATCACATGAATGGTTAACAATCACGTAATTTTGAACGCCGGATCCGCCTATACGTTAGCGGTGGTTAAGCGTGCGTTTTATTTTCAACGAGACGCTTGTAACTAATGTAAACTATGGCGGCGGCAAAATACAGCCTGTGGACCGTCCCGAAATTGAAGGCTGAACTGAGCATTAAGGGTGCAGTAATCACAGGAAGAAAGGCAGATCTGATTGATAGGTATATGATGAACTAAATCATGTCAAATGCACAACTTTTTATAGGCTGCTTATGTCATGTATGTACAGTGAGTACGTGGAAAAAAACGTCAAAAGTAATTGTCAAATTTTTTATGTTGTAAACATTTCATATAAAAAATATTTTGTTCGTATTCATTGTTAGCTTTTGATGAACTTGGCACCAAAGGAAGCGGAAATGTCTAAAGTATAATTTTTTATATTTGGTAATGATATTTTGTCAATTGATTTTCTTTTCTCTTGATCTAAACAAGGTACTTTTTTGAACAATTTGATTGAGTTGAAATATAGAACAATCTTATCACATGCACTTGTTTCTATCAATGGGAAGATCTACTTTCCATGTTCTTGTATTATACAATAACATGGATAGAAGACCTTCCAAGTGATAGAAACAAGTGCCTGTGAAGCTTAAATGAACAAAACAATAACATGCAAAAAATAATCATTGTCTTTATATTGTATCAATATAATAAAATATTAATTCTTCACAACAAAATTTTAACCAAATAAATAAATGCTTTTAAATGTCCTAATTATTACATAAGAAATAAATTGTTTTAATTTTGAATTCACACACAATAATTATGCTTATAGACTGGTTGCATATGACAGAAATCATAATTTCAACCCCCCCATCATAGAAATTCCAGAAGCTACAGATATAGAATGGCCAAAACATGGATATAAGCAGCTTATAGCAGATCATAGATTGGTATTTTCCAAAGTGACCAGAGAGCAAATTGATGGCTATTTTTTTATTTAGATTAGCAGGTTAGTATCTCCTTGTTATAGGTGGGGAAGTATTTTGAAGTGAAAGTTACCCACGGGGGTCTCAACATTCATATATTCATGGGTAAAGATTATTAATTGTGACAATGTAATAAAATTTGATCAATAACAAAACTTGTGTCAAGAAGCTTCAGCAGATGTGGAAATTTTAATGACAAAGAGTTTGGGAAATTCTGTGAAGATCGTTGCACAACAAACTGAAAAATTATGAACCATTGAAATATCACAATTGGTCAATTACTACCTATTGATATATTTCCTCGGTAAAATTGCACCTCATTGATATATTTGACGTATCACAAAAGAGACCCATTCCAGCGGCACATATGTATATACCTTCATATAGGAAGAGAGCCCCCCCCCCCCCCCCCCCCTCAATGGGAAGATCTACTTTCCATGTTCTTGTATTATACAATAACATGGATAGAAGACCTTCCAAGTGATAGAAACAAGTGCCTGTGAAGCTTAAATGAACAAAACAATAACATGCAAAAAATAATCATTGTCTTTATATTGTATCAATATAATAAAATATTAATTCTTCACAACAAAATTTTAACCAAATAAATAAATGCTTTTAAATGTCCTAATTATTACATAAGAAATAAATTGTTTTAATTTTGAATTCACACACAATAATTATGCTTATAGACTGGTTGCATATGACAGAAATCATAATTTCAAACCCCCCATCATAGAAATTCCAGAAGCTACAGATATAGAATGGCCAAAACATGGATATAAGCAGCTTATAGCAGATCATAGATTGGTATTTTCCAAAGTGACCAGAGAGCAAATTGATGGCTATTTTTTTATTTAGATTAGCAGGTTAGTATCTCCTTGTTATAGGTGGGGAAGTATTTTGAAGTGAAAGTTACCCACGGGGGGTCTCAACATTCATATATTCATGGGTAAAGATTATTAATTGTGACAATGTAATAAAATTTGATCAATAACAAAACTTGTGTCAAGAAGCTTCAGCAGATGTGGAAATTTTAATGACAAAGAGTTTGGGAAATTCTGTGAAGATCGTTGCACAACAAACTGAAAAATTATGAACCATTGAAATATCACAATTGGTCAATTACTACCTATTGATATATTTCCTCGGTAAAATTGCACCTCATTGATATATTTGACGTATCACAAAAGAGACCCATTCCAGCGGCACATATGTATATACCTTCATATAGGAAGAGAGCCCCCCCCCCCCCCCTCATCCCCCGTGAAGTTACCAAACAAGTAGTCATCAATCAGTAATTGCTATAATGCTTTGCATGAAGAACCAAAAAATATAGCGGCACCCATATTAAAAAAAATTTGTAATTGTCACCGGTAAATGTCCTCTGAAAAACCCAAAAATCATTTTTATAATATTATTTATATATGTTGTTACAAGTATTATCGTTAATATAAATATACAATTTTGATTTCCATTGCTTTATGGATCTTATATAATTTTTATCTTATAGCTTTAGTGAATTAAGTATACATTTGCTTTTCCTTAAACAAAGTAGAGCTAAACTATGATAAAAGCTCATAATTAGCAGGTTAGAATCTTTTTATAAATATGTATTTTTTATTTTCATTGATTTCATTTTTGTTCAAGATTTACGAACGTCAACAATGTTTAAGGTGATCTGCAACTTATATTATTGTTTATCAGATCAGGTCCAAACAACAAAGCGCCATAAACAGATTTTTACTCTAATATGGGACATCATTTTACTATATATAAAAAAATGAAGATGTGGTATGATTGCCAATGAGACAACTCTCCACAAGAGACCAAAATGACACAGAAATTAACAACTATGCTTATATTTAGAAAAAAAAAAACTAAAAATCTGCAAGTTTGTCGGTATTGTCTAGGATGAATGATTAATTTAATGATTTTTTATTTAAAAAAGAGAATTAACGAAGAATGGATTATGTCTTTTTCAACCTTAAATGTTTATTCGTCCAGGGAAATTTGAGCCGCTGTTAATTGTAATGTTAAAGGTTTGGAGAAGCTACATTTTTTGTATTTGTATGGAATTCTAAATGACTGCATTGTTTAAAACCAAACAACTCATCAGGCACCATGCTTATAATTTTGCATGTTATACGCGCTTTTCGTCTGGAAATTAAACAAATGAAAATGGTAATATGCCACATAAATTATCCAACTGAAGAGCATTGTGGACTCATAAATCGAAAACCTTCAACGTATTTTCCAAATCATTTATTTATTTATTATATTTATATATAATTTTTACAGGCGATAAGCAGGTGAATGGCGACATTAAGGCATTGGAGAAAGGCAGAGATTTGCTACAAGCGAAAAAAATCCTGGCTTGTTCTGTACTTATTCTTGTTGATGGTATTTTTCTAAGTGGTATTGTTGGTGCAGCCATGAAAAAACAGGTTTGCATCAATAAACAGTTTTGTCCCATCCTCATGACATTTATATAATGTATATTAGATTGTTATATGTGAAATATTCTATTTGAGAGAATTGCCTCGTCTAAGATCAAATAAGTGTTAATAATTTCTGCTTCATATTTTCCAATTTTCATGATTATTCTCTGTAATACTTTTTCTATTAACCATTATTGTATCTCTTTCAGTTTACTTATATTGGGTGAATGCTCTGCCAAACCAATTTATGCTTTAGTTGGCATTTTCAAATAAAACCATCTGATTTATTTTTAAAATTAAGCTTCACTTAATTATAGCTCACCTGGCCCACAGGGCCAAGTGAGCTTTTCTCATCACTTGGCGTCCGTCGTCCCGCGTCTGTCGTCCGTAAACTTTTACAAAAATCTTTATCAGGTCAAGATCTATCTGCCCTGAAATTTTCAGATGAATCGGTCAACCCGTTGTTAGGTTGCTGCCCCTGAATAAGTCATTTTAAGGAAATTTTGCCGTATTTTGTTATTATATTGAATATTATTATAGATAGAGATAAACTGTAAGCAGCAATAATGTTCAGCAAATTAAGTTCTACAAATAAGTCAACATGACCAAAATGGTCAGTTGACCCCTTAAGGAGTTATTGCCCTTTTATAGTCAATTTTTAACAATTTTTCGTAAATTTTTGTTATCTTTTACAAAAATCTTCTCCTCTGAAAATACTAAGATGAATTTAACCAAAGTTGTAAAAAATCATCATTAGGGTATGTAGTTTAAAAATTGTGTCTGATGACCCCGCCCGTGAACCAAGATGGCCGACATGGCTAATAATAGTACATAGGGTAAAATGCAGTTTTTGGCTCATATATCTAAACCCAAAGCATTTCGAGCAAATCTTTCAAAATAAAATTGTTCATTAGGTCAAGGTCTATCTGCCCTTAAATTTTCAGACCATTCAGGCAACCCGTTGTTGGGTTGCTGCCCCTGAATTGGTAATTTTTAGAATTTTTTTCAGCTTTTGGTTATTATCTTGAATATTATTAAAGATAGAGATAAACTGTATATAGCAATAATGTACAGCAAAGTAAGACCTACAAATAAGTCAACATAACCAAAATGGTCAATTGACCCCTTCAGGAGTTATTGCCCTTTATAATCAATTTTTATCAATATTCATAAATTTTGTAAATTTTAACAAAATAATTTCCACTGAAACTACTGGGCCAAGTTCATTATAGATAGAGATAATTGTAAGCATCAAGAATGTTCAGTAAAGTAAGATCTACAAACACATCACCATCACCAAAACACAATTTTGTCATGAATCCATCTGTGTCCTTTGTTTAATATGCACATAGACCAAGGTGAGCGACACAGGCTCTTTAGAGCCTCTAGTTTTATTTGCAGGTATCTTACAACTATCATATCAAACTTGACAAATCTGGCAGCCCAGTTAATTCAAAGTGTGAATGTCCAGCAGGAAAGGGTCCCAATACCACCTGCAAGCATGTTGCTGCAGTGCTGTTAATGGCTAATATTTTCTCTAATACTGGAGAAATTTCAATACAGAAATCATGTACAGAAGGTTTTCAGACTTTTCAACAACCAAAGACATATTACAATGGTAACTTCTTTTCCCTGAGTGTCCTGTAAAACCTTTTTATTTCAACCAAAGAATTGAGAGAATAAACAAGTTTCATTTCTTTATATGTTTATGCCCCACCATAAAGCAACAGTACATGAAGTTTTATGTCGTTATTGTTCTAAAGAGTTAAACATATATGGAAACATATGTCAAAGTTCAGAAACTATATCTCCACCAGGCCTTTAACTAGAGTTTTTGTTTTTTGTTTTCCTTCATTTTCCTTTATTTTATATTTTAGGTGCTCCAGTGAAAATTGAAAAACTTGCTAAAAGAAAACCTACAGAAATATTAGAGGACCCAAGACCACAGAAGTACAGAAATATGGAAGGGTTTACAGACCATGTCAGAAACACCATGATTAATTTTTGCTCTCAATCATCTCAAGACTTTACACTGAGATATATTTTTCCTGCAGCTGATATAGAGGTACAATGGAAGTTGATGATTCATAAGAAAAACTTGAAAAAATATTTTTATTTAAAATAAAATTAACAAATTTTAGGTAATACATAGAATCAAATTAACTTTTAACAACATTAACAATTTAAACAGTCATATATTAGTAATAAACCTGTTTGAATCACACACATGATAAAGACAAAAAGTTTGCATGTTCTTGATTTTTGGAAAATTTACATTGCCTGTCGATTTTTAAACATACCACTTGTCTTGTAAAGTCAAATTTCTGGTGCTCATATAATACAATCTAAAAAACTATATATTAACAAAAGAAAGCAAGTAGCCTTGAGTTTTCATATTGCCAAATTCACTGTAATATGTAGTATATCTATATAAATTTTGTTAGTCAAAGGTAGATAACTCCATGTTTAAAAAATAACTCATATCATATACATTGTAGTTAGATTTATGCACATTTCTTCTTTAATATCATTTTAAATTTGTATTTCAGACTGCCTAGCTTGATCATGACTATCTGTCTTTACCATTTGCTGAATATTGGGTTGACAGAGCTTTAATGGTAAGATGAAAAATTCATTTGCAGTATCAATTTATATGTAAATCAGTGCCAATAAAAGGCAACTCCAAAATATCTTATGTACAATAAATATTAATGTATAAAAACTCTTAAATAATTTTTATACTTAAATTTAACAATTCACAAGCCCCGAATAAGAAATATTTAGCTAGCAAATAGGGTACCAATAACCAGACAATTTACTGATCTTTGTTGTACTCAAAATAGTTGTCTTTTTTTTATTTTCAATATGGGATAGTTTTCACACTTTTAAACATGTTTGTCTGTTTATTCAGTACCTGGTACCAAATAACTTATATTTCAATATAACACATCTTATGATTGGATGAATGTTTTTGTTTCTTAATAAAATCAAAAGGATTGAGTGAATTCATGAGATATCCTATAAACTATATAAAATATCTTATATAAAAAATAATCAAATATTTTATCTTATAAATCTTATCTAACATGTCTTATATATATATATCAAAATATCTTATATATATATATCAAAATATCTTATATAAAAAATAATCAAATATTTTATCTTATAAATCTTATCTAACATGTCTTATATATATATATATAGTTTATAAGATATCTCATATAATTTTCTTTATAAGATATCTCATATAGTTTTCTTTATAAGATATCTCATATAGTTTTCTTTATAAGATATCTTATAAATTATATGAGATATCTTACAAACTATATGAGATATCTTATATAGTTTATAACATATCTTATATAGTTTATTAAAATCTTATATAGTTTATTAGATATCTTATATAGTTTTTAAGAAATCTTATATAGTTTATAAGATATCTCATAAAATAATATGAGATATCTTATAAACTATATGAGATATATCTTATAATTTATATGAGATATCTTATAAACTATATGAGATATCTTATAAACTATATGAGATATCTTATAAACTATATACAATTATAGCCTTTGTATGAGGTCGATACAAGGATATACTGACCTGAAAGAAGTATATTGACTGAGGACGAAGTCCGAGGTCGATATACTTCTTTGGGTCGATATATCCTGTATTGACCTCATAAATAGGCTATAATTGTTATATTATTAATTTCCAACCACATTTGTATCACAATCGTCATTTGATTTTGTTGGAATTTTATAGATATCATATTGTCTCCTAGAAGATAACAACATAATTAGTTGTTATTTCATTTGCTTTTTTTGTTGTTTTTTCACATCTTATGTATCTGAAGATTTTTTTCTTCAAATAGACGATCATAAATATCTTTTTATAAAAATTTTAACAATATCATGAAATTCATTACATGACGTCACAAAGTATATCGGATTTTAGATATTCTAAAAATAACCGTGCAATATGCTTTTTGCTGTGCAATATGCTTTTTGCTATCTGCCGTTTTCTCTCTACCTTCGAAAATATAGTTTAACATGTGACTATCCCTGAACGAATCAAATTAGTTAAAATATACGAATTAATAATATTATGAGATATCTTTTAAACTATATAAAATATAAAAAAAACTACTTGCTACATTTACATGCTGAAAATTCCTTAAAGACAAGATTTTATATTGATTTCACTGCTATTTTAGGTTACAGTACAACAGGCAAAATTGGCTGAAAAGGAGACAAGAGGGCAATCCAGCAACAAGAAATGGTTTTATTTAAGACAGTGGAGGATAACAGCATCTAGGTTTGGAGAAATTTCAAAGATGACCACAAGGAGAAATGTACAAAAACTATGTGAATCATTGTGCTCTCAAAAGTTCCTAAATGTAAAATCTGTATTGCATGGTAAAATGTACGAGCAGAAGGCAATATCACAGTTTGAACAAAAGTTTCAATTGAAATGTCAACCATGTGGACTGTTTATTTCTGCTGACAAACCATTTCTTGGAGCTTCCCCAGATGCTTTAATTGGAGATGATTGTGTTGTGGAGGTGAAGTGTCCATATACAGGACGAGATGAGAGTATTGCGCCAGGAGTCAATTTTTCTTTTTTGGAATATGGCAAAGATAACAATATAACATTAAGAAAAACATCAAACTATTACGACCAAATTCAGGGTCAACTTTTTTTATCACAGAGAGAACATTGTTATTTCATTGTTTATACATTTAAAGACCTCTTTGTTGAGAAAATTGAAATTAATCATGACTACTGTGTTGGTTGTCTGCTTCCAAAGTTGGAATTATTTTACTCCAAACACTTTAGGCCATATATTGCCTCAATGCTATGAAAAATTAATAAATTATTGAGACTATATATTTTTCATATTGTTATTTTTTTTTATCAGTGAGTTTGGGCTGGTCATTGTGAAAGTGTCACCTATGTGCATTTTTGAACCACCCTTTGAAATTTATGCAAAATTTGCTATCCTCCCTTCTAAATTAGAATCAATTCAGCCCCCCTCTTTTTGTGGATAATTCTCAATTTACGATATTTGACCCCCCGGGAAATATGTAATTATATTTCCATCTGCAAAAATTGATACCATATTTTACGTTAATACAAAAATTAAACCCCCTTTTACATTTACAAAAAAACAAACTTGTAAAATCCTCCTACATTTTAACCAGCCCTTAACCTAGATAAAAAAATTACATATAAGTTCCATATTACAGATGAGGGTGCATTTTTATTCGACTAGACACCAATAATGCTGGACTTGATAAAAAGCACCTTTTCAGATTATTACAATCTCTTCAATATTGATTGATGTTGAAACATTGGAAAATCAAATAAACATACTCAAAGCAATAAAGAGCATTAGGCACCGAAAATCTCATATCTACGACAAGCCAAAACTAGTTAAAAAGTATAATTACATTTTATGTAATTAGTGGAAACATCTCAGGAAGTATACTTTGAAACTATAAAAATAAGGTCAATTTTACTTACTTTCTTTTGTTAAATTACAATGTTAAAATAAAAATGGGACCCTTTGAAAATCTAGGCAAATTTATCAACAATTGCATTTTTGAAATTTGTCAATGCAAAACAAACAAATACAATTCTGTTACTCAGTGACAGTTTGGTGTTTGGTAATTCAGACTTAAGAATTTTGAAACGTTTGGCTAATCCTATTACACGTTCTATATGGATACGCTTGGATGCAACACGTCTATCCCTCACAATTTCTTCTGGCTCTAGTTGTGGTTTTCCTTTCAGCATTGTAGGCGTATTAACATAAACATCATTGTTTGCAAAGAGGTCTTGAACCATAATGCCTCGATCCGCCATAATACTATCCCCAGAGTCAAACCTGGTATTATCTAAAAGACTTGAGTCTTCAATAATCTGCCTGTCACTGGTAGATCCCCCATAGCAGTCTGAAATATACGATATAGCACCTCTTGGGGTACACCCGACCATAGTTTTCACAGTACTTTTGTGCTTGTAGGAAGACCAAGTCACACTCTGAATGTTTACGTCTTGAGATTTCTGGATTGGAATCTCAGTAGCATCAAGGATAACTCGAGTCCTTGGAAATTTTCTTTGAAAATCTACTGGCATATGCTTAACAACAATGTTTCTTGATGGCCAAATATTTAATTCATTCAGTTGAAAATAAAGGAAGTTAATCCAGGTATTAAAAATCCTAGCAATGGTAGAAACAGATAAATTAAAAAGCAAGGATAATTCTACATCTTCTTTGGCACATCTGAGTTCAATCAATGTTATAAATAGCTGATCAGATGGATGAAGGGTTGAACATTTATATTTGAGCTCATATGCAGCAGGACCTAGTGCATGGAATAAGAACATGAAATGTTCATAAGATTTAAAACCTGTATAAAATGAAACTGCCTTTGGATTGTCCATGAAATTCTCAATCGAATACCGACCAAGTAACTTACACTGGATCTCCATGTCCTTGGGTACATGTACGTCAGGCTCTGAAGGTATGGAAATATTGGTACTATTCTGTGTAGACTCGACTTCAACCTCTTGTTGTATTCCTTGGTCAAGAGCTTTGTCCACACTCATAGCTTGTCTTGATTGCATTCTTAAAGCTCTAGGGCTTACAATATTTATTTAGGGACGAAAGCTAAACACTGATGGTACTGCATCTACCTTTAGTCTACTTCGATCACCTGGAAACAAAGCATGAAACTGATCTTAAAAATTTTACACACATGTGCTTGGAAACATTTTATTTTTATTTGGGCAATAAAACTACCACATACATGTATTCTGCTTTAGTTTTTGTTAACATAGCAGTGGGAACAGTACTTGTATAACTTTACATACATTTATAAATAATAATTCAGGCCAGGCTTATTAAGATTTTATTTAATAGCGTTTAACAAGAAATCTTTGTTCCACATGCAATCACACTCATTGAGTTAGTTGGTCTATGGCAAACAAACAAGTCTCCATGTTGCAGGTGTGACCTATAATTGGTTGTATTTACTACTTAAGGGCATACGATACAGTAGAGATCCCTCGTTGATTTTTTCTTAAAATTTTGGTAGAAGGTCAATTTCGATGTGTTCTTTTGAAATATACAAAGAAAAATATATCTTCATGACTTACTTTTTGAGATAATTTGGTTTCAAATTTGCATATTTGAAGGAAAAACCCTGAAATTTCATAAATAAGGACTTTTAAGGAAAGTACCAATACTTTTGAACGAGCAGTCATAATTTAACCGGGTTTTTTGTATAATGTTCCCTTGATCCATGGCATCAGCATGCTGTAACAAGATAATGGTTGAAATGAATAATTATATCCTGAATTCTTTTAATACAAGTGAAATAAAGAAGTTGGAAATATTTTTGTGTCTACACAGAAGTGCAGAAAAAATTCTATCGTTGATTTGTTTTTAAATTTTGGCGGAGCGTTCTTGAAACAGAACTTGATAGATTGCAAAAGAAAAAACTGGGGGTCC